TTGTACCTGTTTGCATCGAGACCGCACGTGCGAAATATAATAGCTAAATGGTCTGTGAACATTTTGCGTGAAATTTTTGGATCTTAAAAAAGCGTTTGACACGGTTGATCATTCTATTCTCCTACAAAAGCTATACCAATATGGTATAAAGGGTACTCCTCTAAAATTACTAGCATCTTACTTAAACAACAGAAAACAAGTTTGTGTCATTAATAACAACAAGTCAGGCCAAGAAACAGTTCAATGTGGAGTACCACAGGGTTCCAATCTGGGACCATTGCTATTCTCATTGTACATAAATGATTTACCAATGTGCCTTGAGTACACACAAGCATCCATGTTTGCTGATGACACCAATCTATCATGCACAGGAAGGACCCCAGCCGAAATCGAGCACAAACTAAACGCTGACTTATCCAATGTTAACGACTGGTTAGAAGCAAATAGGTTGACATTGAACACAGACAAAACAGAATTTATGATAATAGCCTCAAAAAGAAAACTTAATCAATTTCGCACTGATATTCGTATACATATAAACGGATCCATTATTAAACAAGTTAAGCAAAAAAAAAACCTTAGGTATTACAATTGATAACGAACTAAGGTGGACTGAACACATTAATGAGCAATGCAAAAAACTTTCAAGTGCCATAGCTCTGCTTAGAAAGGCAAAACCACACGTACCTTACAACGACTTACTCCGTATTTACAATTCCCTGGTAGTTCCTTACTTTACATACTGTTCGACAGTTTGGAACGATGGAAACAAAACAAATTTGGAAAAACTTTATAAATTACAAAAGCGAGCCGCTCGTATAATTACTGGATTAAACTATGAAACAAGATCAAAAACAATCCTCCAGAGTCTAGGTTGGCATCCAATAGATAACATTCTTAAAAAAAGAGAATTTCTAATTACGTTTAAGGCTATCGGAGGTATAGCGCCGGAGTGCATCTGTAATATGTTCTCCTACTGTGATAATAGAAGTCACCACATGCGGAGCAACAGGCGGAAACTAACTCTCGATAAACCTAATAGATCATTTATGAAAAAGTCATTTTCATATCGAGGAGCTTCCGCCTGGAACTCATTACCTAACGAAATCTTAGACGTTCACGAACAGTTAACGATACATTCTTTTAAAACTAAGCTCAACAATCACCTACGTTGAAAAAATATCCAATTGTAAAGACTCCTAGTCAACTACACTATTTTGTAAATACTTATACTATTTTGTAAATATTTATTTTGTACTTTCTTTTATGTAAACAACCCCTTTAAAAGCAGCGTAGGCTGAAGGGTTATTGTTTGTAAATAAGTTTTAATAATAATAATAATAATAATAAATTGCATGCCCGTCACGAGTTTGAAAAAGAGGGCCATCAGCTAAACTACGATGTGCAAAATAGTCTAGTAAGCTCTGCACTGGGCATACGTCGTTGAAGAGTGAGCGAGACGTTAGCTTGGTTGTAAGAATGCTTAAAATTCAAAAATTTTATTTTTAAACCGCTGACATTGCCCGCATTATCCACGAGTTGAACGACCTGCCTCAATTGCAGTACGTCCGGTGACCGTGGACAACAAGTGATTTCGCCAACTCGCAAAAAGGCAAAAAATGCGGTCGTGCACATAGCTTTGAACAAGTACCCCCGATACTCACTCGAACATATAGTTGGAGTTTGCTGTAAGACGGTGCGAAGGATAGGGAGAGTTATGGGCAAGCGTGTATCAATGCATGACCCAAGCTTACCATAGCCTTTCAACATTTCGACAATCCAAAACACTTTAGTTGGGTCATTCACCCGTGCAAGACGATGACAATATCCCAGTGCAGAAACGTACGTGTTGGCCGTCGAGGCCGCATAATTGCGTTGAAACATGTACGAAATAAATAGGCTTAAGCTGGCGGGCGATATAGGCAGTGAGACTAAAGCTGAGTAAAAAAATGCACTTGAAAATTGGCTATATAGTTTCCAGGCCCGGCGATAAGTAGGGACCGACGATGGCTGCAAACTAGATTGAAGTAATTTAGTTGTTAGAGCGGCCAGTTGTACGGGAGTAGTTGGGCTGGTATGACCGTTGATGACGATTGTACACCCACCGGAGCTAGCTGTTTGAACTTCGAAACCTGCAATCGAGATAAAGCGTCAGCTAAAACATTTTTGACACCCGGTACATGGCGAGCGCGGAATAAAATGTTAAATTTCAAACAAGCCAGCACCAGTCGGCGAACAAATATCATAACAGTCACATCGCGTGAAGTGGCTTTATTAATGCCGCATTATTCGTAAAAAAGGTGATACGCTGGTTTCGCATCTTATCTCCCCAGGCGAGTACGCTGAGTACAATTGGGTAAAATTCCAAAATCGCGATGTTTAATTGGCTCCCATTTGGGGGCCACGCACCGAAAAACCACTCATCACCGAATACAGCACCATAGCCCAAACTACCGGCAGCATCGGTATATAGGTTTAAACTGAAGGAATCATTCCAAACATCACTGAGAAAAAACGATCGGCCATTAAATTCGTCCAAAAAGGACTGCCAGATGACCAGATCGGCCTTAACCGATTTAGTTAGACATGTAGTAAATTCTAAAGAATTTGTAACAAAAACGGAACAAATTAGATTGGGTAAGAATGACATTCTGGTGAGTTTTGACGTAGTTAGCTTGTTCACTAATGTTCCAGTTGAAGAGGCTTGTACTATCGCGAAAGAAAGACTTCTTTCAGATATTACATTATCTCAAAAAACTAATCTTTCTCCTGAGAATGTTCATGATTTGTTGAAACTATGTTTGACCACGACATGTTTTCAATGGCGGGAGAAATTCTATGAACAAACAAACGGCGCTCCAATGGGAAGTCCATTGTCGCCTGTTATGGCTAATTTGTTCATGGAGAAATTTGAAAAGAAGGCCTTAGCTACTGCAAAGTTGAAACCAGGTTTCTGGTTCAGATACGTGGATGATACATTGAGTAGCTGGTCTCATGGACTAGATAATTTACAAAAGTTTCTAGACCACAATAATAGTTTGCATCCATCGATCAAGTTTACTTTTGAAGTACAGAAGGATGATAAAACTATACCGTTCTTAGATGTTCTTTTCACTATACATGATGATGGGTCGCTAGGACATAAGGTTTATAGGAAACCAACACATACAGACAGGTATCTGCATTATAATTCATTTCATCATCCTAGTATTAAAAACTCTGTGTTCAAGACACTCATCAACCGAGCGAAAACAATTTGTGAGGTAAGTAACATCGACGATGAATTAGAACATTTAAGAAATGTTCTAAAAATGATTGGTTACCCACGGCATTTCATAGATAATGCTATGAAAACGCCACAAAGTATACAGCAGAAGATTGAATATCAGTCGTCTGTTAGTCTACCATACATTGGTCCGGCTTCACACAAAATCGAAAGAATTTTGAGGAATGAAGCAGGTATAAAGGTATACCATTCCAGCGAAAACAAATTGTTTCGAGCTCTTTGCACACATAAGGACAACGTAAATGAATCTCAGAAACCTGGTGTGTACCGCATTCCTTGTGAATGTGGTCTGGTTTACATTGGTGAAACTGGTCGAAATCTCTCAGTACGTCTTAAGGAACACAAGACGAATTGCGAGAAAGCCGAGCAAGATAAATCTGCTGTGGCTAAACACACTTGGACTTACGACCATCGTATAAAATGGGACGAAGCAACCATTTTGACGATTGATAGTCATAAGTTCTCTCGCAAAATGAGAGAGTCAATTGAAATCGAGAAGCACAATACTATAGATCAGGAGGGAAAACCACTAGATAGTACGTGGCGTGCTCTCTTTAATGTGCAAAATTAATTTCTCTTGTCTTGGATGCGCGCGCGTTAATTGGAATCACTTCACTACGTTTTGAAATGACGTGGTTGATGTGCCGTTTAATTAAATTTCAAATGACGCGAGCCAACAGATCACGACGCTCTTGTATATAAAAAGAGCGTGTGAATTAAACAAGTCACATATTATTAGCACTGATGAAGATCCGGGCTTACGGATCGAAAGCTTTGCAGTAATAAATTTACGTGGTGTTTCCACAAACAAAAACAATCTTAAAAGAAGTGTAATTGCCGTCAGGACGAATCCTGCCCCCTCCCTGGCAAATGTTTAAAGGGGAAGTCAAGTCCGTAATGTAAACAAACGGTTTGTTTACATTTTGAACTGCTGTATTTTTTAAAATATGATGTACTGTCTGAATATCTAACACCATTTTGGTTCGTTATGCTTCTACATGAATATGAAATAGAGTTTGTGTTCAGAAAAATTCGAAACATTCAAAATTTGGGCAATGTTTACCTCAGAGGGCCCTCTATTGTTATGCGCAGAACCGATGCGCAGAACGGACTTGACTTCCCCTTTAACCGAAAGCGTTGTGTACCATGCCACAGTAACGAGAGAAGGCAACCAACAGAAAGAAACCTACGTATTTCGGCAACAATTCTTTGATGTGAAAAATCCCATATAACTCCCAAAACAGAATTCTTTTAATGGTGTCATTTTAGTTAATTCTACTCGGTTCCGATAGGTTAAAGACATTAAAAGTTTTTTTACATCGGCACATTTGTGTTATTTAGGAAAAAATTACATATCAATTTTTAATCGACACGCTTGTAGTTCCAAAATTCGAATACATAATTTAAGTAAGAGAACACCGTGAAGATTAACTTATGCAATTCGTTGCAAGTAAAAACGAAAGTCAAGCAAAGATGGCCTATTTACAGTTTTTCCAGTACGAATATTAATTGTCGAAAATTTATATCAGAATTTACTTTTATAATTAATCACAAAGCGAACGGCTGTGCTTCCTAACTATTCTTAATGACAAGATATAAAAGTATATATGAAAAATGGCAAGAAATGATGGGGTGAAAACATGGTGATATATAAATCAGGAGAATTCTATAGATGCGGATACGACATCAACTCATTCAACACAGATTTTTTGTAGTTCCTTGATAAATTTTAATGAGTTTTACAAACAGTTGTATAGTAAACAGGTATTCTACATAAGTGGTGATAAGTATAGTTGTCCAATTATTCTTTTTTATTGCCAAGAGCTTTGACAAGGCAAACGGCTCCTACTGCAGCAGCTCCCACTACTGTCACTGCCTCTGTGCTTATTTTGAAACTTGTTTCATTACCCTTGTCATCCTGTTTCGAATAATAATTGATACCGCCACTGGTCGATTCTTGTGGTTGAGAATTCCAATTACTTTGCTCTAGACTTTTCTTATCCGCCATGATGAAATGGTTCAAGTATTCAAGGTGATATGGACTTAATTTACTCCTATTAAAATAGGAAGTCGGTTATTAATACATAATACAGATGTTAATCACCAGTATAAAGAATAATAATTATTAATAGAATTAACTCGCAATTTTGAGAAACGTAGTTATCTGTAATTTTCGTTTGAAATTCTTTGGATAATTCATAAAACCCGTCATCACATACGGCACGTTTCCTTCTTTGTGAGGGACCTGTGGGTCAGTGATGTAGTATACCTGTGAATTTATAGATTCCGCTACTACCATTTTGAAACCTAAATCTAAATAATCTTGAATGGTCTGTGCCAGTGTAGGTATAGTGCCGATAATAAGAAGGCTTTGGATCGATAGGGATGCAGCTAGCTGAAAAATACAAGACGAACTTCGACGTTTCCAGCGAAGGACCTTGGTTGGGAAGTTGGTAGCCAGGGTCGGAAAAATTGCATGAGCTTATATACTATAAATATACAAGCGATCACGGGATAGAATTAAATCAATTAGATGTATTTAATAAAAAAAGTGTAAACAAAAAATGTAAATCACATTACAGAGTATACAAATATACAGAAAACTACAACCCTATAAAAATCCCAAAAAATATATGTGACAAATGTGGAATAAGATAAGAATTTAAAATACTGTCAATGTCTGTTTTTCACAGGCGCCGCAAAGACAGATAGAGTAAACATGGGGAAAACGTTTAGTAACGCCAAAGGAATGGGCCGTGTCAAGTTTGGAAATAAGGCACAATTTATTTATTTTGCGACTATCGTTGATTCCAGAAATGGGACTGAGGGCTTGACTTTTTATATTTAGAAACACTGTGATTTCCACTATTAAAAGGCGGGCTAGCATTGTTGCCAATGACTGCGCGCCGATGCTCGCCAAGTCTTGCCCTCAAAGGTCGTCCAGTTTCCCCCATATAAAGCATTCCACATCTTCTACATGAGCTGCTGAAGATGAGTTGGCAGGAGGTGCACGTGAAATGGTGCTTAACATGGTATTGAGATTTTGGTGCCGAAATGGTGGTAGCAGAATCTAGAAACTCGCAGGTTTTACATTGTGGCTCCAACAGAGGAACGTGCCGAGAAGTGACTGAATATTTTTATGCATGTGTTAAAAAGAGATTAAGCGGATCTTACCGGAAAAAATGAAAGACGTTTCAGGTTAGTTTTTCAAGGAATGGTAATTTCTTCTAATGGCATCTCTAACTAAGAGAATTTTGTTGTTACCTGTAAAATCGGACACTGGGTCTGTAAGGGTCTCAGTGAAGAGGTGGGATAGCCACATTCGACAAAAAAGTGTCTTATTTCCAGATTTTTGGCTTGAAAGTCCTCATCTTAACTGCAAATCCAGATATTTGGTGTGGTTGGAAGAGGAAAATAGAAGATACCTGTGGGAGTCAGTGCGCTTGTACAGCACAGAAAACACAAATTTTTTGACACAAAGATATCTAAGAATGAAACACTGGTCTCACCATATGAACTGGAGTGCTGGATGGAAATTTCTGACAAAGTTAATAAACGTCCCAATTCGACACGAGAACATGTAGTAGTATGCTTAAAATAGAGCCTGCTACTCAAGTCAATAAAAAGTGGACAGTGATTTGGATTCACAAAAATAACAAGCAATTAAAATGACGGTTGTTAATTAGATTATCAAAGCTAATTTAAAATATGACAATAACGGCCAATTTTTCCGCGAATATCTCGAGAATATTCCAATTTTTATTAAACGACCAGAAATTACATACTAAATTACAACTACGGTTATTGACCGTTTTTATAGACAGCAAAGGCAGTAATTGATTTGGCGAAAAGTACAATATCATATTACATAAATAAACAACAACTTGATATTATTATAAGTAATAGCATGGCATTCAGGTCAATTAGTGATTAAATGTACACAAAAGCCGAGAGAGGTTTAGTAAAAGTCCCGAGGCGCGTAGCGCCGAGGGACTTTTACTAAACCTCTCGAGGCTTGAGGGACATTTCATCACTAATCGACCGTAATGCCATGCTATTACTTTGTAATATCAGAGTTGCCGAGGGAATCGCGTGTGGTGTGTTGCCTGTTTTGAATGCTGTTTGATTGTCTTATGATTGTGGTACGAACACTTTTCATATATACGCACGCGCAGAAACACATCTCCGTGTTCATTCGTTTTAGGCATGCGCATAAACGGAATTTTCTCCCACAATTGTAATGTTCAAGATTAGGGAATAAAAGCTGGCAAAGTGATTGTTCGAATGTGTACGGGACGGTGTCGTCAGATACTGTCCATAGTTGTGCCGATGATGAGGTACAGCTCTCCAATCAGAGGTAATGAGGTACGCTTTTGTTTTCTAAATTTCCCTCATCAAGCATGCAGGGGAAAATTAGAAGACAAAGAAATCCTTTGTTTTCAACTAAATTTACCGGGTAAATTTAGAAGACAAAGCGTATGCATGGGTAATGAGGTAAATTAGTGAGTAATCGTACCTCGCAAGACAAAGGATTTCGAGGCAACTATGATATTACCTTAAAAGGCAAAGCTATTTATTTCTGACCAATGGGAATTTTGCGTACGGTTTGTAACGTATAAGTCCATTTTTGTCAGTAGCAGGCTCTATTTCAAACATGGAGCCAGACACGTAGGCTAGATGCTGTGCTAAGGCAGTAATCTGTATACCTACCAAGGTAATCGCGTTCCCGTATCGAAATGGAACGGTCTACTAACTTTGTAAATTAATTCCACATAGCAGTGGTACTCCAGTTCACATGGGAGATCAGTGAGACCAGTGTATCAATCAATGGCAATAAGCTTGTCCTTCTATGTTCTACAAGCCAACTATTTCTCACAGCTATCTTCTATTTTCGTCTTCCCACCCTCAACCAAACCGACAGGTCTATTCCCTTCTCTCGGTTCCTCCGCATTTGCAGTGAAGATGAGGACTTCCAAGCCAAATGTCTTGAAATGAGACACTTTTTTGTCCAACGTAGCTATTCCACCTATCTCTTAGACTCTGTCTTTTCGATGGTCTCCTAAATTCCCCAAGCTGAGACCCTTTTTTCCGTTTTGACAGGTAACAACAAAATTCTCCTACATGTAGTCTTAACACATCCGTTCAATTTCAAATTCGAGTTGTCAATAGGAGGAATTTCCATTTATTGAACAATCTTTCATTTTCTCCGATAACCTCTTAGTTTCTTTTTGATACATCAATCCTAGTTCATGCTATTATAGTTTTATATCACGCTACAGTAAATGCTAAAAATAGCATGCAAACGTAAACAATAGTAATTTTAAATCGTATTTAATACCTACAAAGAAGAATGAATCAAAATGAGGTAAATATACAAACTAAAAGGAACCACAACAGAACTCTGTGGCGTAAATGACTTTCAAAGAAAACTATAGCGGTAATATTAAATTTTTGCAATAATTATCACACAAAAAAATCATTCCTGGAGAAACTAAAGAAATGCCTGCGAGGATGAAGATTGGAGACAATATTTCATGGGATGCGAGGGTAATGGCGAATGCGTTCATTAGTTTTTTTTTACAGGGACTGTTCGTCGTCTTTTTTACTCTTTTAACGAAGCTGTGTCTGTTGTATTCAATAATGTTAAACGCACTGGAAATTTTACTCAAGCCGATCAGCGCCTGCCCTTTGAATTCCAGGAGGTTTCAGAAAACTTTGTTTTTTTGCCAGCTTCGCCGTCTCAAATCTAGTAAAGCAGTCGAACTGGACGATATTCCACCGCGGCTACTTAAAGATGCCGAACGTATATTGTCGCAAAACCTTTAACAGTTATCATTAACGCATCGTTGCACCAGGCTAAAGTGCCTGTGGAGTGGAAATCAGCACGTGTCATTCCGTTGTTCGAGATTTACTTAATTACGCATGCAAAATTACTTGAATAGAATTCCTAATTGTACATTATGCTTGGTTAAGATTTCTATTCAAATCAGCAAACGAAAACATTCTGTTAGTCTCGATTCATTTGATGAGCCATATAAACAACTCGAGCTCGTGTCTCACCGGGATATCCAAACACTCGAAAACAATGTATGAAAACACTCGCTCTTCGCGCTCGTGTTTTCATACATTGTTTTAATCCCGTGTTTGAATATCCACCTTAACACTCGCTATCGTTGTTCATATATTGCGTCTAAATCAGTGTGCGCGAAGTTGACCAACATATGGATTAAATATATTTATTTCTAGCGGTAAAAATAAAGCAATTTAATTGGCTTAGCCGCTCAGGAGAGTTTAGAGCGGATCAATTTCTCACATCTGGCGAGCTCTGGTTTTGCACGAAAACACTGGGAGTGAAACTATTGTTATACTAAAAAATATATGCCCAGAATCTTACTGGACGTACTAGCCTAACGATAGTTCGAATACGACAATAATTATAACTAGCATCAACGTCTGAAGGTTCAATGCAGTCCGCGTATTATAAGTTCAGTTCAGTCTGCGGTATACAAATCCAGCCCGTGTTATACAAATCGAATCATGCAGTTCATGCAGTCGCCATCTAATTTTACAACATATATGCCGAAAAGTAAATCCGTATTTAGTACACCAACAAATGTGAAAGTTGCTGACGTCAGTCAAACATTTTCGTTTTGCCATGCCATTGAAATTCTCTCTTTTTTTTTAACATTACTTGATAGATTATGTAACATGCACACCTTTTACCGTTCTTTGCCCCATTATTCATCAAGAAACTCACGTAAAAATCAAAATTTAAAGTGCAATCATAATTACGTGCAAGCATTGTTGATTCTTATCAGCATGAAAAATATGCAAAGTGATTATTGAATTCTATATATTGCTCTCTGATGAAAATCTCCCCTTGGAATTCTACTCATGCATATATTTTTCGGAATGGCAAGAGGTAATAACCATTTTACTTTAAACAACAATCCGTACATGTACATCGAAATATTATAGAAGACTCTATATTATAGGACATTTAAAACTAATAGTTCTGCGATACTTATAACACAAACTGTTAGTGCAATTTAAAACGATACATTATCATTATTTACATAATACTCATTCGTAAATTTGGCCACTAAAACTTGCTGGACGATAATTGGTTGTAATGTATTTTGTCGTAAAGATGAAATAGCCACACACATCGAAGATTCATTTCTTTGCCTACATGGTCGAACATAATATACAGCATTGGCTACAAGTTTTTATCCTTTAGGACGAATTCCTTTTCCGCTGTACAAGCATAACATCCTAGACGGTACGATTCATCCGATAGTTAACGGTTTAATAAGAGGTAGTTTGTTTTTTTAGGAAACCACACCGCATGATCCTGTAATAAAGAAACACCCTTATTCTGGACGTTAATATTTTTTTGCAAACTGCAATCTGTTCCCAACAGGAACATAGGCTACCAAACAGTACAAGGCCCAATCGCCGAAAGGCATAAAATAGCAGTCCGCATCTTGTAAACTAAAAAATACGAGTCAAACACAAGATAAACCAATAAATGGTGCAGACACCTTTGTTTTATATCAACTTTGCTTGAAATAAACTCTTTGATAACGCAAGGCTTTCTCAAATACGGAAGTACGAGCAAATATTTCTATTTTCTAATGCCGTTTCTCGCTGACTTGTAATGACGAAGAATTATATTTCTCGGAGTGAAATTTCACCTGAAGTTCGTGAAAACTTTAATTCAAAGCCAGAAACGCTGGCCAAACAAAGCAATTCGTTTCATAAATAAGAATCTCGCCGATATCTATAGGCCTATGTAGCAGTTGTCCACTGTCACAGATGTTTGCTTTAAGCTAGTTGGAACTGTCAAACATGTATTGTAGAGTTTCGTAAAATAGATTAAACCACTTACCCTTGAATATTGACAGTTCAATGAGTATTTCTAGTATACCAGTACCTGACGAAGAAAAGGTTTTGTTGCAGTGGTAGATTGCCAATAATCCTCTCCGAAGACGTATTATAATTGTTTCGACTGGCCTACGCAACAACTAAACATTGCTCATCCGAGCGAGAGATTTTATTCATGCTGATTCCAGGAACCAGCTGGATTCTGTTTTCAAATACAATAATGGAATCGAAAGTCGGCAATTGATATTGTGGCAAGATGATTCATGCTGCCGCATTGAATGAGCCCAAAGCGAACAAGCATGATAGCCTGTATGACGTTAATAACAGTATAGTAAGCTGATTCATGAACATTTGTTTGCCTCTACTGTATATCTAGTAATGGTTCTAAAACCTATTTCAGTGTTGAAAAACTATTTCAATATATGGGGATTTCCAATTTCTTATATTCTTGTTGGTAAGTCACTTTGCTTTTGGTAACATAGCATTTGGAAGGTATATTACCTCAGGATGCTTGAACCTCATCGTTTACTACCACTTGGCCAAACCTTGAGGTATAATGAAGGTAGAAGTGTTATTCAAATCTCTGACAAAAGTTGTGGGTTTTCTCCAAGACCTCCGGTTTCCTCTTAAAGGGAATGTTATCATAGTGGATTGGTATTATCGTTAACTAATTCTTCTACCTCAGCTACCTGTGCTTCATGATCCAACACAGGTCATAAAACGACAACCAAAGGCGCCCTTAGAAAGCTTTCGGGTTGACCTACAATCTTGGACAAAACCATCTGCGACACTCTATTAAAACATCCCTTTGTGGCTTTTGTTTACTGCAATTAGACCGGAATAATTTATTCGTCCCCCCTCCGCCCCCCAAAACAACGTGGGACGTTTTCACTGTATTCTTCGAATGCAATCAACATTGCATGGTGGGGATAAGTTAGATGTTTTTCTAAATTTGCGATAATATAACGAAATTTTGTCAAATAATTGAAAGTGTCGCAGACTTTTTGTCCAGGATTGTAGCACTCATGAGCTGCAAATAAAGACGAACGATTAGCACCCCTTGATGATGTTGCCAGATATGTTCGCCAGTTTTACGGAATGTGGTTATCAATTTCGTTATAGAAGTAAATCATTACCGAGAAGAAAAGCCTTTGTTTCTCAAATTTTTAAAACTGTTGTTGCTATTTGTGGTATTTGTCTTGGGCCGGAACCCATATACAACGTTGCGGACCATATTGTTTCCGTGAAGATGATTCTGAAATAAACTTGAAATACTGTTTCCATTGTAAGATCTAATATTTCAGTTGGTAAGTTGCGAGAATATATCTCGTGCACTTAAAAGACGCATTTGAACTTGTACACTCCCAAAACATTCTCGCGGAAGAACTAAAACTGGGGACTTGTGGTCTCTCGAGATTCAAGTCTATTCTTTCTAAATATTATATGACTTCATTAAGAACTTGTTACGACGTTGACATGCATTCTCGCCCGTATAAAACAATCTGTCTATAGTGTAATTGTGTTCGTAGTCTTACCAATCCAATATCGTGTTGCATGTTGATATTGTGTTTTCGTTTGTTGCATGTTTCGGAAAGAGTTAGTTCGTTGTTCTCAAAGCAGTATTCTTCGTTTAATCGCTTCTCTCGTTATTTCATGAGTTTAAGAGTTGGTTTAGTGTGGAAATAGTATCTTACGACTTGCCTCTGAGGACAAAGAAACAACTTGTTCCTTTAAAGGGGTCGCAGTAATTTGCTTGCGCTGTTGCCGATGCCCTGCCAGGTGCTAATAGTTTATATTTGTACAACGGCTAAGCTATTAAATTAAAAGACTATTGAAGAAATCTCTCTGATCAGTCGACTAATGTATTTTATGAGAGATCTGCTATATAGAACGCAAACAAAAATTTAATTTAAAAAAATCACGTGTGCACATGTTGTACTATACAGCTAGGTGTCCCGAAAAATGCCATAGCTATGTTCCAGAATTTTACACACGACAAGCTTGCCACTAGCATGGATAATAAAATAAATGGATATGACTCTAGCTGACGTCACAGTATAAACCTAGTTGCAATATGTGACGTCACGCGTATTGCCAAAGTTCTCGGCTTTTTTGTTGTTTCGCTATATTTCCGCTTTAAAAGAGTAATATTGAAGCATAAACTGGTCTAATTGTTTTAAAAACGTTCCTAAGCCACGACAAAGTATTCAAGGTAAATGTTTTTCGTCTTTGTTTTGTATTTTTTTACATTTGTAGCTACGAAATTGGCGTCACCAATTTTAAGGAAATTTGCCTTTTGGTATGCGTTTTTCAATGTTTCGTGCTTGAAATATTTGCTAAAATTGACAGGAAATACTTAGAGATTTCATCGTAGAATGTCGTAGTCATATTTATTTGCTCTTTGACTAAAATGTTTAGCTGTGTATTATTGGTAAACATGCCGTTTTTGAGAATTTGGTTTGCAACTAGATTTCAACATCCAACCATGCCATCACCCATTGAAAACATTAGATCACGTCAGCTTTAGTTTCCTATCCATTTATTTTATTATCCATGCCACTAGTGAGCATCGCCAATTTAAAATAAGAGTTGAATTATGAAGCTATAGCTAAAACTGTCAAGATTGACCTATAATGTTATATACTTGTTTTAAAGTTAAGGGTCATCAGACCTACATATTATTGATACTTTACAAAACTAATGCATGTTTTCAACGATCCATTGCATGGGGCGAACTATGCAATTTATGTTTAAAACAGCCATAACATTGGCTCTACTGGACCAATTTTAATCGTAGAGTAAAAATTCATCGCTTATAGATTACATTTTCAATGCCACTAATAATTAGCCGCGGAAAAATCTGGAAATATACCAATTGCCTTTTTTTGGGACACCCTGTATAGCCATGGTCATGCATACATATATACAGCTATTTCAATTAAGGTTGTCCCCCGTGCAAAGCGGAAAAGTCGAATACGAGCGCGAAAGACTGCTGGGAATCGCTAATAAATTCATTCATTTATTAGCGATTCCCAGCAGCCTTTCGCGCTCGTTCGACTTTTCCGCTTTGCTCGGGGGACAACCTTAATTGAAATAACTGTATGTACTGCATGTGTAATCTACCAAAGCTACGTATACAAACAAAAACAGTTTAGTCTTTAAACCAACGGAAGTTTTGATTCTCTCTTGTCAAGTTTTTTATGATGTAACATTTTCCATGTTCACGAAACTGATTCCCACGTTTCGCATCAAAATGTAAATGTAAATAATGGTGTCTGCAATAAACAGTGCCATGGATACAAAACCAAATACCTGTGTGAATGAAAAATAACATTGTAAGAGAGCCACAGGAAACTATTATATTTAGAACCTCTTCACTAATAACACAGAAGGGAGCGCTGGTTAGATTTGGAGAAACCAACAAAGTGCATGCCTGCAGGAGAACAAGATTACTAACCATCTCCTATGTATGGGGGTTTTAGTATTATCCCCGAGCGAACGGCGCCATGCGAGGGTATACTAATTCGGCCCGGCTATTTACCACGGCAAAGGGAAGGAAAGCATTAGACAAGTCTAAAGTTGATCAATGGTGGATGATTATCCACAGGCGGCCCAATCTCAGAATGAATGATCAGGTGTTGCGGGTTTTTAACGGTTTTTATAAACAAATTTTAAATAGTCAACCAAAACTATTCTAAAAACGTTCTCAAATTGGTCAAATAAATGCATTTTAACAATAAAATATAGTTGACATGATAGTATAATACCTTTTCATTCTTTTAATTAATCCATGAGCTCATTTAGAGCGGTTGATGTAACATTTTCTGTGGCCTACATTGTGTGTGCTCATCTATATATAATATAACAGTAAAAGGCTAATCACTGGCGCCACGACCGCATCGCCTTCAAAGTCAAATATCTCCGCTCAAACTTCTCGTACGCCAAAACTAATTCGATTACATCTTTTCACAAAGATTTCTCTTTCTAAATAATATGGTTTGATCGTAGCTTGGGCAAATTTAGCGACGAACGGAACCAAAATCTCCTCAATTTCGGATGCTGTTCAAAATACTTAGGGCTGCTCGGGCACGATCGTGGACGTGACGTAATCAATACGTACTGACAATACCGCTTTACCGCCTTACGTGGGGTGGGACAGCATAAAGCGACAAACTATCGTCGAATTTGATATG